CGGAAGGGGGGGGGGTCGTTCCAACCCAAATAGACTCGAAAAAATCACCAATGATGTGCCCTGGTCTTGCTTAGGTGATGCATGTATGTAGGTTTGCCGAAGCTGATGGGAGAAACCGGCGAAGCAGGAAAATGCACCTCACCCCCACCTCTATGCCGAACAGTGTCTATTTTTGCAACATGAATGACCGAGCAGCTCCTGTTATTTCCTATATTGCTTTGTGATATTTCCGCTTCAGGTAACATTTTTTCGTACGTGCGATAATGTGCAAGAGAAGAGCGCCAACAAAAATGGCAAAATTTGGAAATGGACTTGATAATCGAAATGACCACAGTGTGACTATTTTTGCAACAATATAGATAGTGATTAAAATACGCAAGCACCCGACAACTAAGTGCCCAGTAAACGCGCGATATCCCCTTACTAGCCCACGCACTATGTACCTTCATCTAAGCCATGACCATGCGTCAAGCCGGGGCGATTTTGCTATGTTTGTATAACCCCAAATCGGGAGAGAGGGTTCAGCACCCTGGAGTGTGAAATTGGCGGCACCCGACTGCATTTCCCGATCTGGTACGATTTCATCTGCCCTTAGCTATCTTACCTACCATCTTTCTAAGTTTTAAACTTCCAACATTTTTTCACATTTAGGGGAGGGGAGCTCGCCACCAACGAACCACTGACTTCAACTATCAGAGGTATCAGCTGCAGTCATTTTGCCGTATTTGGCATTATAGTCCATGAATCTACGAGCCTACATCTTGTTCTGAGCTTGTCAGTGAAGTTGGGAGCTGCGCTGGCAGCCGTTTCCATACCAGCTGTTGAAGCGATAAAGCGACACAATGGTGGAAAACGACTGATCGGAACGATTCTGATAACTGTTTTTTGTTTGATAACTGCTGTTTTACGCCGCAGTGCGCGATACGAAAGTTATCACAAGAATGCTGAGTTGTGGGCAAAAGTCGGACCACGGGCGGGACTCGAACCCGCATCTTCTGCTTACCGGGCAGTTGCGTTACCATTTACCTAGCCTTGGGGCACTTTGAGCCGGTTAGCCGATATCGGCAGTGAACCGCAAGGCTGAAGGCTTTTTACAAGTTTTAGACTGTTTTTGTTTGATAACTGCTGTTTTACGCCGCAGTGCGCGATACGAAAGTTATCACAAGAATGCTGAGTTGTGGGCAAAAGTCGGACCACGGGCGGGACTCGAACCCGCATCTTCTGCTTACCGGGCAAAGCATCAAACAAACTGGTATCAAAACAAAAAGAGTCTAAAACTTGTAAAAGCCTTCCCTTGCGGTTCAGCGTGCCGAATATGGAAATGAACAGCAGGGCGTTGACCTGTCCGTTTCCCGAGATGAGTCAGGCATTTCATGCCTATTCAAAAAAGTAGTGGCACACAAATTTGGGGAACAATGGGTACAGTGAGCACTTCCACCATCTTGAGGAATTTTCATACAGTTTACTGACCACGGAGAGATGGTACCCTTGTTTTGAAATGACCTGAGAGATTTTGATAAGCGTTTCAATCCCAGACTGGCTTCTGCTTGCCTCGATACCTACCAGCAGCCCAACTCCGCTCCGGACTATATTACATCCTAAACGTAACAGTTATTTAGCCACGCTGTTTGCTCTCGCGAAAAATAAGATGAAGGAAATCGCATTGTGTATGGCTACTTGCAGTTATACATCTTCGCCATCATCAGTAATGGCAGGGACCAGAAGTGGTCTAGTGGCATATAGCGCGGCTCACCAGGAGCGCAATTTTGTGCCAAAACCCGGATCGCCCGACCAACCGAGCCAAGCATGCCTCCTGGGCTTATAAGTTGACATAAGACGCAGCTAGATGAAAACAATACTGTGCAACGACTGGCCCCGAAAGTCACCAGAAAAAAAAGCTGTGTTGTATCCAAAATGGAAGCATAATGTGTGGCGCTCCCACGAAGGGACTGATAAGAGCTGTCTCTCTCTATTTTACGGGGCAGGAGTGGGCAGACGTAGTTAGAATGAGGTCATCAGGCTTCACAATCAAGCCAACCAGGAAATGACGATCTTGTGTTTTTCTTGTTGTTTTTCGGTTAATGTTCATGCTGTACGTTTCATATTGTATCAGTAGTTCTATAGGGTCCCTTGTCTAACGGAACACCAGCAATTTCTTGCCGTTTGACGTTGGTATGAGGTTGGTAATTGAATTCGTTCGTCAGCATATCACATCGAATACAATTACACAGCAGTTCATGGTTTTTCCCGATCCTTCTCGTAGGAATGGGCAGCCCTGGAAGGAGAGGGAATAGGAAATGACGAAACGGGTGCTGCTGTATGATGCCACAGTCGGCATCCCGAAATTTATCCCAGGAATACTGAGCTATGGGCAAATGTCAGACCCCACGCGCTACTAGAACCTGCACCTCCCGCTGACCATAACTTTGCCCATGACTGACATTCTTGTGATTCTTTACCACGAGCATGGTTCAATGATCAGATCCTGAATTTGCTCTCATCGGGCTACACTTAGCCTTTCATCTCCCCTGAGAACGCTAGGGAAGGCAGCTCTTCTCTGGGTATGTGGCAAGAGAATCGTAATTCGCCGCGTCAGTGGGCGTCGCGTAAAATTTTGTGCCCGCACGACGATTTTAAGTGGTATTGGTCGAGAATAGACAAACATATGACCAAAACTAGACACAAGTGTCTGCCGTGTCCCTGTCTACATGAAATCCTATGCTCCAGTTGAAGAGTAGATGGCAACTCAATAGAAACGTGCGGTGCGCCGCGCCAATGTGCGAATAAGCGGCAAATGTAGCGATTTCTCTTGTCCATCTGCCTCCCCCCTTTTGTTGGTTTTAAGGAGAGTACTCTCGCAGTGCTTACAATTCTAATGCGACGGCGAGAACACGGCGCATTCGGAAGTAAATTATTAGCGTTTAGCACTTCACTTCACTCTCCTCGTCACTTTTATGGGCTCGCTGAGTTCGATTAGTTCTGTCACGTCGTTCAACCGCCTACTATTTAGTTTTCAGAGCGGTAATCGCTATCAATTACCAACGGTTGCTAAGCAAAAGGCCAACAAAAACGCCACGCCAGTGTGTTGCAGCAAAGAACGAGTACAATCAAGACAATATTCTGGGAAAGCGTAGATTAAAAACAACCAAGAAGTAATCGACGATACAAATAGCCGATGTTGGATTAACTTCCTTAAACCCATAAGACACTCTACTTCGATTCTGGAACGAATTTTCAGAAGCCTGGCGATAGTTCTGGGTGCCAGGAAGCCCAGGAAGACAGGCAAGAGAATCGTAATTTACCGCTCCGCCGCGCGCGGCGGTGGGCGCGGCGTTTTCTCAACTCGTATTAAGCTGTCGATTGGAGCACCGACTTCATGTAGACCCCAGTCATAGTACACATTCATGACTTTTTACGCTTCTAAATTGTCTGTGGTCGCTATCTACCACCCGGAACCATCCACATTTGCGGTGCGACGTCCCACACGACGCCCACCAGCGCGGTGAATTACGATTCTCTTGTCACATACCCTGTTTCCCATAAGATTGTAAAGCTAGTGTGCAGTTCCAAGCTTTCATTGCTTAGCACAAGCTTCGCACCGATCAGTAGAATCCGGAGGGATGGAAGGTGAAACATTTTGGCCCGCAGGTGATTTGATCCAGGAATTAACCCCAGACAGATAGTGTGATAAGCATCGCTCTTAGTCGCCACACCACCTCCTCCTCGTCATCAAAGAAAGTAAAGATAAATCACCTGAAATCCAGTTCCTTGATCTTGAACTTCACTTCAACTACACCGGTGGTCGCCACTCGAGAATAGAGGATATCTTGCTCAGAGGGTCTATAACCTGGCTCGCTAACTCGAGCGCATGAGTCTAGGAAGCTGAAATTGACCACATAAGTCATAAAGATTTCTTAGCTATGGTTACAGAAATGCAGGATTGGGGAAGGGTAAGAAAAATTGAAGCTTACTATTTGGCGGAATCCGTCAATTGGTACTCGCTTCGCATTTCAAATGCTTTCTTCACACCGGGATCGGACCTGCAAAGAAAAAAAAGAGTTTGTCAATTCAGCGATTTCCGATACGGTCTTGCAGCAGTTTACGCTGATTCAAGGCGGGGAGGAGGCGGATTCAAGCTTACAAATCCCCTTTCTTTGACGGAAAGAAGCTCCTCTCTAAGGCCACGAAAGGAAGGGTGTACCAACAAGGAATGCAAATGGTAGGCCCGACCACGCCCATGCGTAAATCAACCTGAACTGTGTCTTCAAGATACCTGACCCGCATGATTTATAAAGCCATTAGTTGAGGACAACCAGAGGTACACAGTATCCTAAAAATGCGCGTAAAATTAAATGCGTCGATCGCGTAAGCACCTTCAGGCGGCTGTCCCTCAATCTCCGCATAGGCGCTTGCAGGAGGAGAAAAGCTCAAAACTGAAACTAGAACGCGAGAGCGATGCAGTTTCTGCCTGTCCGACGGCAAGGAAGGGGGAATGTCAATGAGGAGGCCACAACAATAGGCTTGCCTCCGCTTATAAGAAACGTTGAATGCGCCTTAACTTAAAGAACAAACAAAAACTTCATAAAATTCGGTTCTTCCACATTCTTCCACCCGGAGAATAGACGAAAAGTAGCTCTTGAGTTGGGTTCTACGATTCCCATTAATAGGACCAACTAAGGTTCACAATAATCTTAGTCATATACATTCTGCTGTTCCCCAGCTTCATCGTAGTCATCGGGATGACAGACGATTTCAACTATTTCATCATGCATCACTTCCGTTTACTGCAGTTCATGATGGGGCAATCAGGACGACAGTGCCGAACAAATTCAGAGAGCAGCCAGAACCCTTGCGCAACTAGGATCAAAATGATACACCTTCTACCTTTGTGTCTTAGCAACATCCGCGACCACGGGCGGAGTCAGACCACATCACTGCCGCTTCCCAGCAACTGTTCCCAGCGTACATAGGAGTAGATGACTCGCCCTCCTACATGTCCATGCCCTCACCAAACGTTCCTTGAACACCGACGAGCACAGTTCACGCTGAATGTATTCGCCGTTAACTGGCGCTCACTCCGTCGCCCCTCAACTTCTCAAAGATTGAAAGCAACCAGTTGCCTCCATGAAAAAGAGCAAATGGTGGGCCTGATCCCTCACAGAAAATCTGGAAGCTACACCCTCAGTAGTTTGAGAGTTATTGACGGGTGGAAAATACACGGGAGATCTACCGAGGATCCATTCTACCAATGGGCATGAGCTCATCCACTAAAGCACACTTACGGGGGGACTTTTTCGGAAGACATTTCTAAAGGTGAGTCGCTTTTGTTGCTTCATGATGAAGAATTCTTAGCTTTACTTCCTCGAATAACATTCCCATTCATAGAAAGAGGCTCTTACTCTCCTTTCCATGAATGGGAAGTGCTATTCGAAGGAGCTTTTTTTGAATGTCCTGCGCTTACGACAAAAATATGTAGAAGATGAAACCGTTCATACGAGCAAAACAATATCATATCCCGAGAAAAAAATATGTGAAAAGAAATGCTTACCAAAGAGATTGAATGGCTTTGGAAACTTCCTCAGTGAGAGGCTCCGATTCTTCGCCCATCTCTTGAACCGCGCAGACACGACGGCCTTTTTCTGCTACAATACTTTAGTGAACTCGTGATTTATAGGTTAGAGGACAAAACAGGGCACATCCCTTGTTGGCGAAATCCTCAACGAGGGGAGGGGGTATCCGCCATGAGAGCGGTCGTATTTGGACTGAGAATAAGTTCATTTGATTATTGATATTCTCGCTTCACGACGTTGTAAAGGGGAGGGGCATACCAATCCCCAAGAAAAGAACGAACTCGACTCAATTCCCTAACCAGTGATGTGCCGTTGGGGCAAAATGGACGTCCCCATAATACAGTGCAAATACAGCGTGCAAAATGTGGCTGGTGACGTCATCGAGTACTTGTCAAGGAAATTAAAGGGAAGGGGAAATTAGAGAGCACGGGAGGAGGGAAACTAGACGCTGTACACCCCCAAAAAGTTTGTCAGGCTGCCAGCTAATCCCCGGAAATAGTAACTACTTGCACAAAAATCAATTAGATTACAAGCGCAGCAAGAAACCGTAGCGGTCTCTTGGACCTTTGCTTGGCGTACGTCAATTCACAGTGGCTTCCCTGTTCATTGCGGGTGAGAGCGTTACAAGCGGAGTGCTTTGGCTGCCAACCCTTTCTCCATCAATTGTTAAAAAGCTGCGCGGCTACCGGATACGATTGTGGCTAAAGCTGCTCGCCCTCCCCTCAAGACCCAGGCGCCCTGAAACTCCCCACCACCTCTAGCGTGCGAGGTCGTGCAGGGATGCAGAATCTCTTACCCCATTTTGATGAGTGCAAGGTGCAAAGTAACCATAGGAAAAATCTCGTAGACTCGTCTAGCCTGCGCGTTTATAACTTTTGCGGCAGCGCTGCGTAGCGTAGCGGCAGCGATAGCGCTAAGGTAGCGTAGCGCTTCCGAGCGTCACGGCCTAGCGCAGTCGCCGAAGACAGAGATGCCATGACTCTAGCTTCACCACGCCTCACCAGCTGCCACGCCTATATCGATGTTGCATCGCTCTCCTTCGCACTGCGCTGGTCGTACGCTGGGAAGCCGCTACCGCTACGCTTGCCGCAAAGTAATAACGCCCAGCCTTAACAACATTTCCTCTAGTAGTACAGTTATCTTCAACATGTTCACCTTCATCCAACTTCACTACCCAGCTTTGCCTGGAATTCCTGAGAGAAGGTTTCTGGGTAGAACGGAAGGGGAGGATATACTAAAGAGCTACACCATGAATCGCAAACGATCAAAATCTCTTCCTTCCTTGATGTTCCGTACCATCTCGCACTGCCTTCCTTCAACAATTTAAATACGGCCCAGTACGCTTGTTAGTTACACAGATATGGCCTCTCATTGTACTCCATGAATGACCAAAATCAAAAGAATAATTCGCTTGGACTCGATCGAAGCCAGCCACGAAGAAGGAAGACAGCAAGGAAACGCTTATACAGGGCGGGTTCACCATGTGCGTAATTTTCCATAGATATATACGGGAATTATGACTGTCAGATCCAGAACGTGCCAGGCGCTTGTTGTACTTTCCCGAGAAAGCAAAATCGATTCGATGGCTTACAATTTGGAACGAGTATTGATTTTACGCGCTGCAATGCATAAAAATGGATAAAGGATAGTCTTCGCTGTTGATCGATGCCTTTTTGGGAAGCCGCACGTATACTACCATCATTCAGAATCGTAATGGCTTAGGTAGCGTTCAGACCTTCAGAAGGCAGCGCTTCGGTCGCGTGTTCGACGCTAATCATGCAGTCGAAAGTATGCGCGACCTATGTAGGCTTGTAACTCTTGTAAAGCTGTGCAATGGGCTCCGCTGACACTTGAAAAGAGCCTACAGGTCTTGCCCAGGGCACATCGTTGTTGGAGAATCCCCCCCTCCTTTACCTCGCTCGACGGTCTCGAGTACAATGAGGCAGGAAAGATGGCCGAAGGCCGGGGGTCGTTCCAACCCAAATAGACCGAAAAAATCACAATTGATGTTGCCTGCTTGCTTAGGTGATGCATGTATGTAGGTTTGCCGAAGCTGATGAGAGAAAACCGGCGAAGCAGGGAAATGCACCCCACCCCCACCTCTATGCCGAACAGTGTCTATTTTTGCAACATGAATGACCGAGCAACTCCTGTTATTTCCTATATTGCTTTGGATATTTCCGCTTCAGGTAACATTTTCGTACGTGCGATAATGTGCAAGAGAAGAGCGCCAACAAAAATGGCAAAATTTGGAAATGGACTTGATAATCGAAATGACCACAGTGTGACTATTTTTGCAATAATATAGATAGTGATTAAAATACGCAAGCACCCCACAACTTAGTGCCCAGTAAACGCGCGATATCCCCTTACTAGCCCACGCACTATGTACCTTCATCTAAGCCATGACCATGCGTCAAGCCGGGGCGATTTTGCTATGTTTGTATAACCCCAATTCGGGAGAGAGGGTTCAGCACCCTGGAATGTGAATGTTGGCGGCATCCGACTGCATTTCCCGATCTGATACGATTCATCTGCCCTTAGCTAGCTTACCTACCATCTTTCTAAGTTTTGAACTTAACAACATTTTTTCACATTTAGGGGAGGGGAGCTCGCCACCAATGAACCACTTACTTCAACTATCAGAGGTATCAGCTGCAGTCATTTTGCCGTATTTGGCATTATAGTCCATGAATCTACGAGCCTACATCTTGTTCTGAGCTTGTCAGTGAAGTTGGGCGGCCCTGGCAACCCTTCCACCACGCTGTTGAAGCGAGTAAACGACATACAATGAGGGTGCGAAAACGACTGATACGAACGAATCTGATACAGTTTTTGTTTGATAACTGCTGTTTTACGCCGCAGTGCGCGATACGAAAGTTACCACAAGAATGAGTTGTGGGCAAAAGTCGGACCACGGGCGGGACTCAAAAACCCGCATCTTCTGCTTACCGGGCAGTTGCGTTACCACTTACGCTACCCGGGCCACTTTTGACCTCTCAGCCGGATATCCGGCACACGCAAGCTGAAGCATTTTACAAAGTTTAGCACTGTTTTTGTCTTGAATAACTGCTGTTTACGCCGCAGTGCGCGATACGAAAGTTATCACAAGAATGCTGAGTTGTGGGCAAAAGTCGGACCACGGGCGGGACTCGAACCCGCATCTTCTGCTTACCGGGCAAGACATCAAACAAAACCAATTATCACAACAAAAAGAGCTAAAACTCGTAAAAGCCTTCAAGCCTTGCGATTCACTGCGCCGATATCGGCCTAACGGCTCAAAAGTCGCGCCCGGTAGGTAATGCGCTAAACGCAACTGCCCGCGTAAGCAGAAGATGCCGGCGTTTCGAGTCCGCCGTCGTCGAGCTTTTTGCCCACAACTCAGCCATTCTGAGCGATATGATACAGCCTTGTCGCTTGAAAGAAAAGAAAGGACGAGCGCCCTACCCTCCCCCCTGCGTAACACGCCTCACCATCCGCAGCGGACAAGACTGTGGATGTGAAAACGGAAACGGGAGCAACTGCCCCCTCAAGCAGAGAAGGACGAGCGAATCATGGACGTGGTCCGCAGCCTCTGCGGTTACTCTTGCACCAGCTTGCTTGTTTCTTCTTGGATCGGCGAATGTCTATCGCCATCGCTTTAACATCAAAGTCCGTGATAATAGTGAATATGTATACTCACAAAACCGTCCGGCTCACACTAAAGACCAACCACGAGACTCACCTCTTTTTCGCCATCTTCTAGGGGGATGTGAAGCACGTTGTCCATTGCCTGCAGTAGACGACATTACCAGTGGGACAATCAGAACTGTAGAAAACTACTGTACCTTGAGAATTGTGCACATTGATGTAACCACATTATTGTACACAATTGATTTCTTTTCATTAATTTCTTCTTCCGTAAATCCATTGCTATGTAGAATTCTGCAAAAAGTTTAGATTGATTCAAGAAATAATTGGTTACGTGACAACTAAAACTTTTGGTGATGGTCCTGCTGCGAAAGGCCAGTGCGCAGAGAAACAAAGGGCTCCGTCTGCTAAGGCTTCCACAGGCACAAAAAATATGACGCGTTCGAAAAGATGAGTTTTTGCAGAGGGAGAGTACACCAAGGTGGATGGGTCGCTTATTAGGCGTGAAATGTTGGAACGCAACCGTTGGAAACAGGGCCGCAACAAGAGGGTTTGTCTGGCTCGACGGCTACTCGAACTGTGAAAAAAAGGTCAGCGTGGTCACAAAACGCCATGGAGACGTGACGACGCGCTGAGAAGAACAGAAAGTTGGCGCCTTCAATGAATTGAGTTTTAGTTGTCCCTAGACCGTTTACAACAGCTAGATTTGAGCATTGTGCAAGCTTACGAACGTGAAATATTGAGCGTTTGGGGAGAGACCAGACGACTAGACAAAAGTGTGCAAGTTTTTCATCCGAAGACGGAGTGGAGAGTCTTGAATAACAAATCCTCGGTGCTCGTACTAGGCACTAC